GGTTTGCTAATAGCTTTTTGTCGTATAAATTTTTAGTATAAAAAGTTTTGCAAGAATAAAATTGAAAAATATTCTAGCGATAATATGTGTTTTTTAAATATTTATATGGTTAAGAATTTTTAATTTTTAGCTACAAAATTTTGTAAGTAATGTCATGGAAGGCAGAAATAACTAAATGACTTTTTATTCTCTGTTTTCTCTATTATTAATGTATCTTAAAGAAATTGACTTCCATATACTCAAATCATTAAATATTAGGTAATTACATAGCGTGACCATAAGTATTAAATATACATGAGCGGGATCTTGCATATGACACAAAATATTTCGTGCATCGCACGAGCATAGAAACTAGTTATTATAAAAGCATGAATACAATGTCGGTTTACAAAAATAACCTTATAATATTAAGCATAATAATTCATAATAAAATGACATAACCGAAATTCTAGATATTAGTTTTAGGGCATAATACTACACATTAGGAATCTTACATGATTATTTTTAGGAATCCTATTAGTATAATTACTTTCGGGCTGTCTAATTCATATAGAATTGAACAAGTAAATATCTTTAGTCATGTAATCCTATTACTTTTAGGATATACTTCTTAAAAATTCCTATTATTAATTTAATTTGAAAACGTATTATAAGGTCCTATTACTCATTTAATTTGAGAATATATTATATTGTCCAAATCCATTTAGAAAAAGGAGAGCCTATTTATTATAAAAGTATAATTAAATACAATATTAATATACCAAAATAACCCTAAAATATTAAGCGAAAGAACTCATAGGAAAAGGACACAACTGTAAAAACCTATTTTTTGTACTATAATACCTTCTTTGCTAATTTTTAATATTTAAGATTTTAAATTTAATAAAATTTTGTCTATTAAATTCTTATTAAAAATATATAGGAAGGTTTAATAAAATCAATTTCATAAGAATCATCCGTATTGGAAATACATTACCACTCCATAATGTCCAATACCAAAAATAAAAAGTAATATTAAATGGATTGTATAAAGAGTAGAAATTGAGGGGAAAAAACCACGATAATATATTTTTGCATTATATTTAAACTATTTTTCTACTCAAATAATAATTTTTTTATCAATTTTTCATATAATATTGAAAAATATCCAATTATTAAACAACAACTATAAAAATATTTAAGAATATAAATGTGTGGGAAAGAGAAAAAATGGTTGGTAAGAGTCAATACCACTAATGATTCTACAAACATAAAGATCTAAACGTGAAATGTCAAATCAATCTTTTACTCCATGAAAATAAAATTTATAGTGGATAAAATTATAGTTAAGATTAAATATTCAAAACAAGAGATGAACTAATATTAAGATCTGAATCAACATAGAATAAATTATTTTTTTTGTTAAAACCAAATAATTAAATCTTTTAATTAATTATTTATCAAGAGAATCCAATTCAATTATTTTTTAAATTCATCATATGAGTAAAATTCTTATTCAAGTTTAAAAAAATCTTAGTGAATAGATCCAATATTCAGTGTCTTCTTACTTCGTGTCGGAAATGAAGAAGATCATCCAATAAAAGATGATTTGGTTTTTCCTGAACACTTGGTTATCAATCCCAATGGTAATAGTAGTGCATTTAATAAGAGAAATATTTCTGTCATTAGATTAAAACGCAATTTGTGCAAATCGCATGATAAAATTAAAAAGATATCGTAGCTAGCAGAAATGAATATGTTGATCAACTAAATAAAAGATTAATTGCAAAATTTTATAATAAAATAAAATATTTTTCAGTTTTTGACTCAGCAGAAAATGATACCAATAATTAATACCAAGAAGAATACTTAAATACTTTAATACCAAATGGCTTTCTACCATATATGTTTGTTGTCAAGTTTATTATTTCTTACATATGTTAGTGTCACCGTATATATAATAGACTAAGTTAAAATTGATCTTCCATTGTATATAGGTTAATTTTGAAAAGAAATTATGTTCGTCATGCTACTGAAAAACTTAGATACGCCGAATAACTTATGTAATAGCACACAGACGGTATATAAAAGTTTTGACAATAACGTCATACATGCAAAAATTATGATGCTGGTCAATGTGCTTCTAAGTATATTCTTATCCTTAAATTCTACTTTCGTCTTCCGAAACTAAGGAATATCCTTTTAAATTTGTGTGAAAATAATTTTTAGTATGTTTATGTTTTGCAAATATAACAAATAAAGTACAAGGACAAACATTCTAAATATTGGACTTTATTTACCGCAATATATTTTCTTGCACGAACAACTGTATGTTGCACTTTCAAGAGGGATATCAAGATCGATAACAAGAGTTTTGGTTAAAGTGGAGCAACCAAAGCATTAGGAGGAAACATACACAAAAAAAATATTGTCCACAAAGAAGTGTTCGTTAAAATACCATCACATTAAATACTTTTAAACTATAATACATAATTATCTAACTAACATGACAAAATTGATCATTTGTGTAAGTTTTGATGATGTCCTATTATTTTAAATTCATGTATTATGCTAATGTAATAATATTTTTTGGCATTTAGATGATTGTTGTATTATTATACATAAAATTTCTCTCATTACTTAAATTTTATTATTCTTTCATATAAATAAATGTTTAAATCATCACGTGTCATTATTAACGTGCAAAGCATGTTCATAGATACTAGTACCGTAAAAGATCATAAAATGACTACCAAAGATAAGCAACTACTCCATAAGGTATTTTATTTTATTCTTTTCTTTGGAGAAAAAATCTAACATACTTCCATAGCTTAGAAAGCGGGTTAATTTCACTAAAGGTCATCCAACTTATCATTTATTTCATAAAAGTTACTTAACTGTTTTTCATCACTTAAAAGTCACTCAACTTTACCTTTGTAACTTAAAAATCATTCCAATTCAAAACCTACAAAATATCCAATAAAAATATGACATGACATTACATTTAATTAAAAAATCTAACAATAATGCCACACAAGCTTAAATAGATCATATCTAAGTTAGACTCATTTCTTCCTCGGTCCGATTTGACCTATAACCAAAATGGATTATTAATATTTGAACAATTAACTGGACTAGCACTTTGATTTTGTGGTTAATTTGTAGAAAAAGAAGTTAAGAAATTTAAGAAAAATTAGGTCTTTTGAATTTATCTTTAGGTTTTGGTTGTACATTTACAGTCAATGACACAAGACGTTGTCTCATTCTTTTGTCTAGATTATCGCTATAGGTTGTCTACGATTGCAGTGTGTATTGACAATTTCTACTATGTAATTTCATTGTGGGTTCTTCTTACTGAGCAATATTTTTGTCTGTTAGTATTGCTTAATAAGCAATATTTTGACTTTAATGGAATAGTAATTTGTGAAAATAGGTTCTTATTAGCTTGTTGTTCTTGACTGTTACTGGTACATTTAATTGTTATGTGAGATTGATATGGTAGTATTTTAACTTCATGGAGAATTATAAAATGATATGAAGGATGTAAAAACTGGTTATGTGCTAGTTTTGTTCATATTTTTAATGAAATTATAGGTTGTGGTATTAAGGTTATTACGTAACAAATAAAATAAGATATTTTTAGCACAGAATAATTGTTCTCTTATTTTCCTTCTAATGATCAAAATATTAAAACCTATTTGGATTATGAGTCAAATCGAATTGTGGATGAAATAGGTCTAAATTGGGTATGGTCCATCTAAGCTTATGTAGTAATATAACTAGAATTTTTAATTAAATTTAATGTCATGTCATGTCATATTTTTATAGGATATTTTATATGTTTTGAACTAGAATGACTTTTAAGTTACAAATATAAAGTAGAGTACTTTTAAGTAATGAAAAATAGTTAAGTGATTTTTGTGAAACAAATGATAAGTTGGATCATTGAAATTAACCCCTTAGAAAACATGATAAAGTAAACGACAAGACCAACTAGAAAAGTTCAAACGCAGAAAAGTTATTGGATACCACGTCAGTCCAAGGGATAAATTAGTCTTGTCTTATTGCCCAACAGTGAAAATGTACGGTCATAAGGCAATAAAGTACAACAGTGTTAAAGCACAGACCGATTGAATTACCAAAAATTTCCTTTGGTTGGCAAGCTGGGAAGACAAGCGTCTCCTGCTTCTAGAGTAGAAAGAGAAAAGCATTTTGCGCAACACTGGACATCCATTCCCAATTATATACTATATATATGTTGTTTGTGCCCAATAAGGTGAAAAACATATCACTTGGTGGTGACCTTGTGCTTAGGTGAGTTAGAGAAGTTGGGATTCTGATGGACAAAATTACACTTGTTGCGGTACTTAGTGAGGATGGTATATTTTGTCTTCAATGTTATGGTTTGAAATTTATGCACAAAAATAAGTTGCCGTCCTAGTGGTGCTAAATTCTGGTATTAAATTTGAATGAAAAAATATAGTGTATTGCACATAACGTATTTGTTAGCTTTTTTAAGGGCTCAAAACCAATTTTCACTTATCCATTGCCTTCCCTAACCTATGCTTGGTGTAAATTCTTCTTTTTTCTCTATGATGATAGCGTCTGAACGAGCTCATGCACACCTTGACTATTAGCTGCGACCTGCTTGGTGTAGATTCTTAGCACCTGAAACACATGGAGGGACCTACTTGGTTCGACTTGTTTTTTACATTTTTTCTTCTGCGAATACTAGAACCTTCATACATAATCCTTAGGCATTTTGCATAGTTTTCTCCCTGCAATCATATTCTCTTCAAAACTCTATTTTTTTCCCAGAATCCTTTCTATATTTAACTGAATTCCGACTCAGCTTCTACAAATACAAGTGGAAGAGAACTTGTGTTGTGCGGCACAGAAAAGGTAAATTTGTTCGGGGCACGTTTCAAATCTTAATTTGCTCAGTACTTTTGGCAAGATAAGAATCATGATGCTCTATTATTGCTCAGTACTTTTGGCAAGATGCGATTCATGACGCCCCATAATAGCAATTCAAGTAAACTTCATATTAATCAAAAAACTCATCTACTACATGGATCCAAGTCACTGATTGAAAGATTTACAACGTAACATTCCGCACAAAATATTTGTACAACAGAAAATGCTCTCTTTGTTACTGGACGAAAATTTTGGTGGATCTGATCAACATACTGCTTCAAGTTCCAGACAACAGTGTCAAAACAAGCAATGAACAGGAAGGACTAATCAATTCCCAATCCGGAGTAAGGCTCAAAGCCGCCCTGACAAGTATAGACAGACAGAAGAGTGGCAAGGTTAGCTAAGACACATACTGAACATTCTCCTCAAGGATTGCTATAGACACTATTACCATTAAATCATGAAACTGAATTACCTTCCTAGCTAATAGAAATATTTGATAGATGTTTAAACTGTATAACTTAAACAGGGAGGCCCCAAATCTAACTGGCGTTAGTATTCACATGTAAAATAAGTAGAATTGTACATGTAGTATAAAGCTTTAAACATTAAGGAGCTGATTAATATTAGTGTTATTTAAGTTTCCTCAGTCGTTAAACCACTGCCTAAATCTCGTAAATCTATGAAGTTCCTAAGTTATTTCCAGAAGCAATTATAAAATCACATAAGAATCATAAAAGAATGCAGCCTAAATCAAGGTGTTGCACGACTTATAGAACTTTAATAATGAAACAAAAAGGTGAGATTTTTTCTCCATGTCATTTGCAACAACAGCCAAGTGTATTCCCACAAATGGTGTCTGGGGAGGGTAGGATGTACGCAGCCTTACCCCTACCCTGGAAGGGCAGAGAGATTGTTTCCGATATACCTTCGGCTAAAGAAAAGATGGAAGAAGCACTGATAGCAATTAATAACAATACAAGATATTTAGAAAACTAAATCCAAGATAGCAAAAGAGAAGATGAAAGAAGTGTTGATAGCAAGTAATAACAGTACAAGATATGTAGTGATAGCAAACTAAGGAAGTACTGATGTCAAGTAATAACAGTACAAGATATGCGGTAATAGCAAACTAAGGATAAAAGGGATACCATACTGATACTAATACTATTGAACTAAGGAAAACAGGGAAACACTCGACTATCTACTAACCTTCTACCCTAATTCTCAACTTCCACACCCTCCTATCAAGGGTCATGTCCTCGGTTAGCTCAAGCTGCGCCATGTCCCGCCTGATCACCTCTCCCCAAGACTTCTTTGGCCTACCTCTACCCTTCCTCTTACTCCCAAGGCCAACCTCTCACACCTCCTGACTGGGGCATCTGTGCTTCTCCTTTTAACATGCCTGAACCATCTTAGCCTCGCCTCTCGCATCTTTTCCTCCACAGGGGGCACTCCCACCTTGTCCCAAATAACTCCATTCCTAATTCTATCTAACCTAGTATGCCCACACATCCATCTCCATGTCATTTAACAATGTCATGATAGCTTTGCTCTTCTTCTTAGTAAAAAAGAAAAAAGAATGAAACTTAGCTTGTTCTACCTTGTACTTTTTTAAACAAATCCGATGACATAACGCCATTATCCCGCAATTCAAAACAGGAAGGAAAAGGATAATTAATGGAACAGGATAGATGAGGGTTATAAAACCATTGTTTAACTAGTTCATCTTAAAAGAGAAGCTCAAACTTACTGCGCAGTCATCATGGACACGCCAAATCGTTTCGCCCAAGAGGTTTGCAACAGATAAGATGGTCAGCTGGGGAAAATAGTTTTGTTCTGCCACCGGAATGGTATTTGTGATGATTACCTCCTGAAACAGTCCACTCGACAACCTCTCTATCGCAGGAGGGCTGCAAAACATAAGATTAAGGTTCAGGGTTCAAATCCCAGCAAAGGCAACAAAAACAGTAGGTGTTTCTTCCCATTCGCCTAAGCCTTGGCGGACAGAATTACCAGGTACCTTAACTGGTGGGGCAGGTACCCGATGGAATAGTCAAGGGACGCGCACCACCATTATCAAAAAAGGTATCATGCAAAGTTCACTAGCAAGTTGGGAAGCCTAGAATCTCGATATCCAAAGTCTTATCTTGAAGGACACAATGCAAACAATGCTGTAGTGCCCTAGTGATTTAATTACAATAAAAGGATTGGGATGGGCAGTCTTTTTCCCCCTTCCCCCTTCCCCCTTCCC